TGCTTGTGTAAAAGTTGTAAATGGCTTCAATGAAGTTAAATTTCCTTGTGGAGATGCCTTGCCTAAATCAATGACCAAAGTTGACCCCCTAGCAACTTTACTTCAAACTTCTTGGTAGTTATAATTATAAGTCGTGATACCGGTTACAATGTGGATAGTCTCGCAACAAGATTAGCTTTGGGCAATACATAATCCATAAAAAACACCTATGGCATGATTCTCTTACAGACATCTTTGTGCTGCCGAGGCCAGGCGAGTCGGGTTCTGAGCCGGTGTGTCCTGAACGTAAGTTCACATTAACCCTGTATGTAGTCATGTAGAACTCACGAGGAATGTTGATAGTATAAAGGAACTTTTCGCACGGAACTGAACAGCCAAAAGGAAGTCCCAAGAATTTGTGTCACTACTGTGTCGCAAATTTTGAAAAATTTCTTCACTTCAAAGCAAAAGGACCACTTCTAAGCACTTACGTAATAGACTAGAATGGCGATGCGAATGCAATCTGTTGTGTTTTATTTTGAATGTAGCCGATTAAGTAAAACGATGGGTGATGTTCTCCCCCAACCACAGGTACACCAACACTGTTTCTGCTGTATTCATATGACTGTCCGGAGCATTTCAGGGTGGTTGAATGCAGTGCTACCTTCCTGCAAAAGATGGGCTTCCCTGTGATTTTGGACATGTGGTGCACCAACCAGGTACGTTGTTGAGGCCCAAAATGGGAGAAAGGTCATTCTTTGATTCCTTGGATACTAAAATGTCTGTCTTTTTTCTAGTCTGCACTGAGCTTAACGATTAAGCTCGATCCAACACCAAGAAACGTCGACGAATGTTAGACATTCGGGTAGAACATTACATGATATAAAAGGGAAACAACTGGATAGATTCGTAACTGTTTGAAGATAGATATGCTTTCTGAAACATCTTACTAAGAAACCAATACATTGCTCCTTGAAGTCTAGGCCCTTAATACTACAGATTCCTACCTTCTATCCACAGATCGGTTGTGTGGGGAAAACCGACTGGGTCTATGAGCACATGGACAAGGCCGATTTCGTCATCGTCATCTGTTCCCGTGGAGCGCGGCACAAGATGGAAGGCAAGAACGACCCGCCGCTACAGGAGGGATACCTGGGGGACATGTTCACGCCATGGGCCAAAGAGATAGGTAGGGAAAAACCTTCCCTCCCCATCGCGTCTACGATGTTTTTTCCGCGATGTATCGCCGTATGTCGTAGTTTTGAGATGAAACGGGTGCAAATTTCAAACTAATCTAAATGAATCTAAAGTAAACTAATCTATACCCATTTTCAGGTTCACGTATCCACTCAGACGACGCGCTGAGCAGCGGGTCCCGGCAGAAGTACGTGGTCGCCTACTTCAGCTACTCGTCGGCGGAAGACGTACCCAGGGTCCTGCGCGCCTCCCAGCCGCACTACCGGCTGATGAAGCACATGCCGGAACTCTTCTGTCACCTGCTGGGGATAGAGAGGAGAGGGCCCAGGGGAACAGCCATTATTACAGGTCAGGAGCAAACAGTTTTTGGCTCAACGTTTGGGTTTAACGCTGGTCGCTTCAATATTCGAAAGCCGTCGATTTAATGTACAAAATCAACAGCACAAGTAGAGACAAGTTGACATGATGAACGATGAGAACTTTTGATGTTTGAAATGTCAACAACTTGTTTATCATAGTTTTGACTATATATATGTTTTGATCTATACATGCAAGTGATGGTTAAACTTTCCGGTCTCAGGACTTGGGAAAAAGAACATTCTTTCTCATTTGTGGCGGGGCCATTTTCCGTGTGTTGTAAAACGTGCCTGGGTTGCTCTATCATCTCTTTAAGGATGTTCATGATAACTGATCTCATACCAACGTAACCACGAGCAAGATGAAAGCTTCATACATTGTTTCACAGGCTTGGAGACGGAGGAGGGCCAGAAGCTGGTCGAGGCGATAGACGCGATGCAGAAAATCTGCGACCAGAAGCCCGACTGGCTGTTCCAGAGAAACGACGGTCCAGCCCCTGATGTAATCGATGCTGTTACATCATCTGCTTCACCAGAAGAAATACCGCTGCTGCCAACACCCTCGGAGAGTAGCGTGGAGACGGAAAACTCCACACCTCCAGTCGGTGATGCACAGGGTGAGGGGGATGCACAGCCTCTCCTTAGTAATGGAGCTACAAACGCAGTGGATGGACAACAGGATGACTCCCGCGTAGAAGTTTGTCCACCAGAGGATGTGTCGGTAGTGACGGGCAAGGTTGAACCGACAGCAGCAGGCACGGGTACTATAGAGACTGTACGAGAGCACAGAGAGGATGATCCTGAGAGCGGAATTCACACTGCCAGCGAAACCAGCATGGAAGGACCTACCAGTACCTTAGCACAGGTACGACCATCACCAGCATCAGCCGCCTCCGCACCGCAAGTACAGTACCCTGAGTATGGGGCTACGGCGCAGGGTGGGACTTCTTACGGTAACAATCCAGAGGCAGCCACCCAATTTAACTACTACACCAGCCCATGGCCAACTATGGATCCCAATATGGCCCAACACTATGGCCCTGGCAATATCTATGGAAATCCGATGTACGTTCGCAGCCCTTCGTACGACCAGCAACCTTACATGTACAACGTCGAGCCAGGTAACGTTCCTGCACACGCATATCGGCCCGGCGCCTCCCCATACAGAGACGGATCGCATCATAACAGCGATGAGCAGCTCGACAGCGGGATCTTCATGGCAGAGATAGAGGAAGAGCTGAGGCGCCACAATCAACTCGTGTCGGACAGTATGCCGCCTGAATATTAGTTCAGTTAACATCCTTGTCAATTAGACTTTGCTCGCTTTGATTCTTAGCTAAAGCGACGGTCACAACCCGCCGTACGTGCTTTTTCTCCGTACGTTTTTTGGGAGGCTACGTCTGCTACTTTTTTTCTGAAAACGTGGAGAAGGAGTGGCGTCGACGCACGTCACTCGCACGTCACTCGCACGGTTGCACAAAGTGTCAGAGTGTGGTCTGAACGCCAAGACTTGCCGTGAGCGGTTGCGTGCATCGTACGTTGAGCAAGTGGTAAGTGAGTTGTACGTGCTTACAACGTACGATCTCTGTGCGATTGCAACTTTACCGTAAGGAGGCCGCACTCACACGTGCTTCTTCCGCACGGCACGTACGGAGCGCGCGCGTCGCTCGTACTCGCACGCACGGGTGGTGAATCCGCAGACCGCACGTAGAAAAAGTTTTACATGCACTTAACGTTCTACGGCGTGTCTGCGTGCTCCCAAATCCGTATATATATATATAGTAGGATTCCGTACGGAGGTGGTACTCACCACTCACGGATCCCCTACGTTTGCCCACGTTTTTGCACGTAGACAGCACGCAGAAGCACGTACGGCGGGTTGTGACCGTCGCTTAAGTTGGTCATTTGTTTCAGGAAAAAGGGCCATATGCTGCTGAATATTATACTTAATACTAAACATGTGTGATTCTATATGATAATGTGGTACATGTTTATTCTTAAGATGTTCCTGACAGACGAAATATGAATATGAAAAGGTGGAAAACAAATGTCCAGTAAATATACAGTAAATATATACATTTTGTGCTTACGAAGTATACAAGAACTGCAGCTTGTTTAATATATATATATAATATATCCATCAATTGTCAATTATGGTATTGTAGGAAAGATACAATCTATTATTTTGTGACGAAAATGACTTTACGTTGGAATTCTCCTTTTAAAAAGGATACAGAGAATATATTCTTTGTGTGGGAATAAAATATGGGCAAGTATTAGGGGTAAAATTATACATTCAAGTTAAAGTCCAGTATTTACTTTTTCAAGGTATGGAGTGGTTCATTCCTTTGAGGGAAACTTCTTGTGGATTCAAAAGCAATGTATTTGTCTTGGGTCTTGTGGAGCTCATTTCTGGTACCAAAGAACAGTTGGAAATTCGAATCTTGGTTTATCCGTTTGTCTATAATGTCTATATTACATCAAATAAAAATTTCTGAGCAAATGGTTGTCTGTGGAATAATGATCTGGTGCAATAATAGAATAAAATGACTTGAAGCTAGGCCTGTGACTCAGTTGTCTAAATACAAGTACATTGTATCACAACAAGATAGGCATTAGCCATACATATGGCCATGCAAATTCATCTCATGCAGGAAAAAAACTCTTAAATCAGGAATATATTGAGTCAAACATCACAAGAACACCACCATCACAGGAATCACACAGACACAATGAACCTGGATACAAAGCACATTTTATTCCAAATACAAAAATAGAGCATCTTGGAGACGAGGAGAGTGCTTAGTCAAAGGCAGCATGAAAGGGTTTCCTTTAGACATAAAGAAGGACTTCCTAGTAACTGTTCCTACCTACTAGTTCAGTTAACAAGCTTCCTTACAACTAGTGTTTAGTGTCACCAGATGAAAGGGAAAATATTCTTGACCACATGAGATGACATTCAATTTTTAAGTACAAAGGTAAGGCCACAAGAGTGTCAGTGTACATAATGTACAGTAAGGAGTCTTGGCTTAACAAATCTTCAGCAGAACAGGGGAGGTAAGCAGGCATTCCAAAGTGACACCTCGAGATAAAGATGGAAAGTTCACCTTAATCAGCTAATAAAACTATAGTAAGCAGCCCTGGAGGAGTCTTTTCAAAGAGTATGATTTTCAGGCGTGTAGAAGGAAGTGAATCATCTTACTTGACTGATGCAGACTACATTGTAAGGTACACAGCCATAACTAGTTAGCTAAGACTACTTATTGAAGAGTGGAGAGCAGCATAAGCACATACAATACAAGATTGCTGTTAGCAACTCTGTCCCTTACACAATATACAGTTTTACACATATTAGCAAGCCTGGGCATGAGACAGACAGCACACATGCCATCTTTAGTTAGACAAAAGAAAAGTGGGGAACCTCTTATTCTACAATGTGTACAATACTTGCAGATACCTACTTATTTCATAACTAACTAGATTGTAGCCTTTCCTTATAATGAAATACAGCACGGAATGGTTTTCATGATAATCAAGTGCATAATCATAATTTTATACATACTATACTTTGTTTTAATAGAGAAAGTGCATGTAAGATTCACTGTATGCAAAATTAGGTCACAACAGAGTGCTGTTACCTTACAATTTCCTATACACATTTCCCAACTGGAGTAACTATTCATGATTATACAGAAAAGCCAGTTAGAAAGTAAAGTTATTTACATCAACCCAGAAAAAAACCTGCAAATTACTGTTAATTTGCCAGTCAGTTCCACACAGGTGCCATCTGTGTAGTAGATCCAGCCACTTGTCAATCATACAAAGGAAATATGAAAGTTGCTTTCATGAGGAGTAAGAAACAGCTTGTGATAAAAAGAAATGGACACTAGTTTGTTAACTTACACATACATTTTGTTGTACTTCTATCATAGCAGCACCCCTGTATACAGAGATGACCCAACATTCACCTAAAACTTTTGGGGTCTGGGTTACAATCCAGCTGAACACCATGATTCTTTCTTTTTCATTAGAGAGCTTGTACAACATTTGCCACCAGATAATCTTACTACAAAAACAAAATTGAAAATGTACATGATAGCAACATCAAATCTTTCAAAATTATGTTCATATACAATTATGGAATTTGAGATAAGTACAGAAGCCAAAATATGTATATCATACATTGTAGTATACAAGTACATGTAGATGCATTACTATACACAACAGGTAGGTTATACAAATCAAAGAGAACAAAATGCACTCTTATAACATAACTATATAGCATTGTGATAAACACTCCGTCTTCACCACAGCCCTTACAGAATGTTACAAAGTGATTTATACAAATTCTTTTCTGACTTTGTCACACATTATCAATTAATCTTTCATTTGAATATACAAGTGTAGAAATATGTGCCAGGAAAGTTGCAGCACTTAGTTATGATGTTTGCCTCATAATTATTTATGGAACACTCATTTCTACAGCTTCTTAGAAGCAGATTATCCTTCCCACACTCTTTAAGGCAGGTTTATACAATAGAATGTGTCAAATCCATTTCCTCATTTGCTGACCCTTGAAACATTTAGTACTGCGTTCAAAGCTGGAATAATTTAAAAATTCCCAAATACATTATTGTAGCTTTGCTGCATTCTTTTTGTGGCCAACAACATGGCAAATGTTTGTTATAATGAGCTGATGCAGGCCCAAGTTCTGAATTTCTGAATCTACCTTATCACTGCAATGGTATCGTGCATTATTTGAATCGTTGAGTTTGAATTAAGAATCCTCTCCTGGCTACCTAAGTGTTTTGATAGACCTCAAGCTCAGCTCAGCTCAGCTCAGTTAGTATGTTGCATTTTTTTTCCTTCCAATAGATGTCTGATTACCAGAGGATTTATCTAAGGATTTTTCATATTCTGGAGCGGTAAAGTAAGGTGTTAAACTTTCCCTATAATAAATAAATACTTGGTATCAGAAGACCTGCAGTAAAAATGTTAGTGATGGCTCTTTGACAAGTTCAACACCAGCAATTGAGCATTAGACCACACCAATTTATTTCCTTGGTTCTCATTTATTTTAGAGCAAAAAGGACCCCAAGACGAAAGGAGACTTGAGCCTAACGATATTCATGTTCTGATCTGTGTACCACGGTGCAAACAATCACAATAGAATCCTTTTTTTTTTTCAAATATTTCTTCTATTTGAGAACCAAGAAGTTAACCTAGTGTCACCCGAGCCACTCATCAACAGGTTGTGTCAGTGGGTGTGTTTGCTTCATCTCCGCTCGACCCTGAGTGGTACGTCAGGTCAACCCCGGAGTCTAGCCTGAACAGGAAGTTGTTGTCTCCCAGCCTCTTGCTGCCCGGAATGGGCTTCAGCTCCACAGACATCAGGCCTGGAGCCGCTCCCAGGAGCTGATAGTTGTGGGGCAGGCTGGCTGTTCTGGCGGGGTGAGTCTTCAGTAGGGGCACGGGTGCGGGGAGAGTGGCCACAGACAGGGGGAACATGTGGGCGTCGTCTGGACTCATGTGGAGGTAGGAGGGAGCCAGCTTGTTCTGCCACCTCTGTGCCGGCCGGGCCAGGCCGTCCAGGTTCAGCTCCGAGTCCACCAGTTCCTGGTCCTCCTCTTCCTCTATCAGCTCAGCATCTGTCTTCTTCTTGGGAGGCTGTGTTGGGTAGGTTTGCATCTCCATGACGACGGGGTTTCCATCTGTGCCGTCTTTTGGGATGTTTGCTACTTTCTTGCTACCGTTTCTGTGGATTTCGTGGCTGTGGACGTCGACGATCGTCTGCGGGGTGTTGACTTCCACTGGTGTCTCACCTTGCACGGTGCTCTCCAACCTTTGACCTGGAGGGGTTGACCCCTGACCTGCCAGCCTCTGCGCGCCCTCAGCACATTTCTGGGCAAACCAATCAGGATTGTCGGTGAAGTACTTCCTGGTGGCCTTGATGGCGGAGTCCAGGGACTGTCCTGTCTCTGTCTGTAGGTGCCCCTCCTGTTCCAGGTCCTGTTTGGATTAGAGGTAATGGAATTAATTTGAGATGGTGTACAATGGTAAATAGTCCAATCTTAAATCAAATCAAAAGCCAATCAAAAGCCAATACCTCTGTTCACGGAGGTAATAACTAGGAACATGTTCTCATAAGTCATATACAAAAAAGAAAGATGAAACACACACAAATCAAGACATTTCCCCACCTTGATGAGCCTGCTGTACTTGTGACAGGAGACCTCCAGCCCATGCAGGTGGCAGAACAGCAGGTGGAACTCTGACATCACCTTGAACTTGGGCGCCAGCTCCAGCGACCCCGGGATGTCGCTCTCGTACGTGTACTCAAAATAAACCGTGACGAAGCGACAGGGCTGCCCGTTTGCGACGGCCCGGTCGTGGCGGAGCCTCTCCGCGGCCATGTTAACCGCGTACAGGAACATCTCGTTGGGTTGTGGGTCCACAGAGGTGGCAGCAGTTGTGCTGTTGTGTCTACAGGTTAGAAAGTGAAAAATACACTGATGCAGTGACTGTCTGATTTTAAAAGCATTTATAAGACACTTTCAGATTGACTTGTGGCCTTTTACTTGTTCATCTATGTACCACCTATCTTGACAAAGCATTTATAGGACAGCCTCAAATAGGCTGCTGAACTTTACATGCAGCACTAGCATATGAAAGTCCTTTCCCTTTCCATGTGTATGTGTATGTCTAACCTTTGTCTCTGCAGATGGTACTTGAGCCCAGTGGAACAGACCACGATGACGTAGTCACAGTCTGTCAGGTGTTTGATGGTCCACTCAGCCTGGACATGCAGGTCACCCTCCCCCACGTACCATGAGTCCAGGAACACATGGCACCGGCAAGACTGGAGATGAGAGGATCAAAATTCAGCGAAAAATGGTGTAAAACATCCTAGATTCCTAATCGGCCAACTTTTTTCACAATCAATACTTCTATCTTGTCTATGTTTCTTTCCAACTTACCTCATGTAGGAAGGAAGCAAACTGGTTGACTGTGTTGGTGTGTGCATCACAGTCTGCAGGGGAGTACAGGATCAGGACTTTCGGGCAGTCATAGTCTGAAAGGGAACAGAGACATGCCCAATGCACATTGAAATGTATGGCTGACAGTTGAGGAAATTTCCTAAATAATCTGTGCCTCTCTTTGGACAAGCATGAAATAAAAATGCTTGAGACAAAAGCTTGTAAGGCTTTCTTGGTGTACTGATAGCTGATAGTGCTAAGCACACCAAATTACACCTGGCAGCCACTAAGTTACATGAGTGACTGGAAAAACACTACAGCAAAACAATATACATGTACCTGGTGACAGCAGATCCTTGTTCTTCTCCACAGTGTTCCTCTGTGCAGTTCTCATCCCTCCCTGCTGCTGCCCCTCCTCCCCTTCCAGGCCCATGGACTCTCCCGGACTCTCCTCCTCATCCTCAAACTCCCTGTATGCATTCTCTGTTGGAAAGGCAGATGTATCGGAATCACATTTTCACTTCATAACAGAAATACATGTACTATTACACTTTGTACCTGATAAAGGACACTTAAACGTTGACGGATCTAAGCCTCCAATTTTATGGAGTAGCGTATCTGAAAACATACAGTAAGCTTCAAAGAATCTCTAGGAATGAGATGCTCACTTCTCCTTCTGTATCTTCTGTAGATCAGTACAGCAGCAAGTCCAGCAAAGGCCCAGAGACCCAGTACACCCAGGCAGGCCATGGCCACTATCACTGGGGTGGACAGGGTTGGTCCACGTGGGTCTGGAACAATGACAAGCAATAATTAAATGATAAAGAAGACCTTTCTGGAAAATACTTATGGTTTATAGCCTAATACTGGCATCAAACAGGTGAAACTGCAGTTTGTATAAAACTACTTGGACAGTTAAACATGCATAAACAATGAATCAATGTATGAGGAAAAGAAAATACAAAATTGCCAAATGCTTTTCTCTCACAACCTGCAAACACTGCTACTGACCAGGTTTGTGTTGTACAGAGAAGACCACAGGAGTTGACCTGGGTGCACCCTGCTGGTTAGAGGACACCTGGACGGTGTAGGGTGCACTGGGCTCCAGGTTGTCCAGGTTATAGGTCAGCAAAGTGGCGTTAGCATCAAAAGGCTGCAAGGCAAGAAAAACAACACCAGCGGTTCACCTTTCCAAGTAGAATCCTGATACATGGATGCAATTAAATATTCGATAACTTTTTAAAGTAAATTATAAATCCATGTTAGAATAGAATATATTTGTCCTGCCCTACCTGTTCTACCACATAGGAAGTTGTGTTCTGTGGTTCCCAGGTAGCCAGTTCCAGGTAGTTGTGTGGAGGCCGTCCAAAGTGCACGATGTAGCTGCCAAACTTGTACCGCTCGGGCGCGAGGTCAAAGATCACCTTAGCTGAGGAATAGCTAGCGTTGACCTTGACTGTCCGAGGCAGCCATTCTGTGGAAGGTTAGAACAAGTAGGTCAGTGAAGAGGGTGAAAAAATATATAAGTGTTCTTCAATATGCTCAAGGTGTGGCTCTCCTTGAACACAAAAGTTTACATCACCTGCACTGCAACCTCTATCGCTCACATGCACATCAGGTTCAGAACACTAGGGCATAATTTGAACCCTAATTAGAGTAAACCTGACCACAGACCAAGGATGCTATAACATTGTGGTTTCCTACTTACCCTCCATGCATTCTTGAAGGGACTTGTTCAACAAGGAGTCACATTCTGAAAAGGAAAACATTCAAAATATACATCAGGATAAAATACACACAGTTGAATTTTCCAAATTTCTAAGATGACATTTCTTCCAAGCAATAAAATATATCACATTCTTGACATGTCTATACAGCTTACCTCTAGCATGGAAAGTAAATGTAGAGACTCTGTCTTGCTGCAGTTCTGAAACCTTAGGTAGGGGGAGTGGCTGTACTGCTACCAGGTACTCGGCCTCCAAAACCAGGTTCTGGAAACCATCATAGTGATACTCTTCCATCTGTGGATTCAAATATGCTAAGGTTAATTATTATGGGTTCACCACACCACGAAGTGGTGGTGAACCCATATTGCTTTTTCTGATGTTTCTTCTCCTTCTCCTTCTCCTTCTTCTTCTCCTGCCATTTTTTAAATGGATTCAGCTTCTTCATTTTAGGGCCTAAGGTCCTGAAATTTGGTATGGAGGTACAGTGGGCAAATACCCCTAGGCGTTTTTAAATTTTTGTGATACAGGCTTTTAGAATGGTTTTATTTGAGTTTTTTTGGCTGTGTTATAGCAAATGTATTACTGAGTTAGTGTGCAGTGTTACCACATTTGGGCATGAGTCATCACAATGGAATGCAGGGCATCAACCAATAGGTATGCAGCTTTCCTCTATTCTCCTTGCTGATTGGCTGTTGGAATTTAACAGGCTTAACTTAATTAATACCTGCTCAGATCCATTCCATACTGACAGTATGTCTGTATTCAAGTATTTTGGTAGGTATTTCAAGCTTTCCTGCTCCAGCATTGGAATGCGGGGCATGAACACTTCTTTTTTTCTTGAAAATCAACAGTTTGCATTATGCAATTAAAAATCCTAACCAATAATGTAGGGAATAGCTATCCAACTGTTGTAGTCTTAGTTGTATGTTACTTCATACTATAGTTATATCAATGTAAAGCATTGTTTTCCCTTGTGTTTCTCATTCTTTCCCTGCCATGTCGTAAAATGTGGTGAAGCCATTGCTGTATTTGCTCCAAAGCAAATGTCGGCCTTTCTAGTTAGTTACTAAAACCTAATACAGAGAAAATCGTTAACAAAATGTCTAGTACTTAGTTATCCTTTTGACTGAAATCTTTTACCAAGATTTTCTTAACGACCCATTGAAGAGGATAACCTGGTCACTGAACTACAAAGTCAATTCCAGTAGTGTCTAAGTAAGGCCGTGTCAATTCATATAATCCAGTATGGGTTATACATTGATAAGATCTGTTCTTGTGGTATCTTAATCTTAGATATCCTGAGATGACTGTTGATATTTTGCATCACACGACATGACAAAACATGAGTGCGTACCAGTTTCTGTTGTGAGGTGAGGTTCTCCTGTGTCAGGTGCAGCTGCACGCACCTGCTACGGCTGAAGTCACCCCGTCGGCCCTGCAGAGTCAGCTGGAAGCCCTGCAGGTACGCTATTCCTGCAGAGATGGAACATGGGCATAAGTACATGTAGTACTGTAAATCTCGATCCACTTAAGCTACAAACCCAGGTCTGCTATGACAAAAAGGACAGCCACTGTGTACAGTACACACTGGTTCAATACGAGCGATCACTGTGTTTGCTTACATCATATACATGCAAATTACTGGTAGGCAGATCACCCAATTGTCACCTGCTTTTTGACTACCACTCGCTGGTCATGACGTCATGGCAATCACTCATATTGAAATACTGGGGAAATTTTCTTACACCTTTTTAATCAGTACAAAGAATATTTGATCTCTGAAAAGGGGAAAGGTGTAAAGGTTAACTGATCATGATGTCACCTACCTAGATTGCTTGGTTTCCAGGTAATTCTGACCCCGTCTGTCTGGTGGCCCTCTAGTGACTTGTGAGTGACCTGCAGCTCCTCTGGCCTGCCTATCTCGGCACTCTCAGTCTCCACTAGGTTTCCTACCAGCAGCGACACACATTCTGAAAGGTGGGAGGTGATAGGTCAGTTGTAGCCTGATTGAATCAAGCTCCCAACAACATCCCCAATCCATCTGGATGCTTGATGGAAACTATTTGAAGTGAAAGCTGGGAGAATCAGGATTTAGATAATTTATGTAAACATCATCAACTGAAATTCAACTATTTCAGTTGATGGTTGCTATCCTTTACTTTTGGTCAGTCTATTTTGCATTTTAGAAGTGTGACTCATGTCACTGTTTTAGCATATTCTTTGTGGATGTCTAACAGAGCAACATGACATTTTGTATTGTGCAGTTTCTCTGAAGCAAGAAGGCAAGTTAATGGATTCGACAGAACATCTATTAGTTTTGCATGCCCACTGACTCACAATAAGAGTGCCAGACAAACATGTATGTGTTAATACTGAACAAAACATTTCACACAATCTTGTATAAACAGATTATGCATACCATAGCAGAATGGTATTTTTTTATACATGTACTTCAAATCTATGGGCTATGGCAGTAGCTATAGTTAATTAATCAACTGAATGTATTCCTGTGAGTCCACTGAAATGTATATGCTATGATATATAGTTAAACTTCTCTTAAACAATTACTCAAGGGACTCAATGGTCACAGCAGACAGGTTGCCACTATAGACAGGACTACTTAAGATACTAGGGTCCGTTGTACCAGTTATGCGGAGGTGATCACTAGTACAGGTTGGACTATTCCATCTAGTGACATATCCATTTGTCACTGTCTCCCAGGGTGTACAAGCCATGTTTGCCTTGGTGATAAAGTAAACAGTGTAGACCAACAAGTTTGTACTTCTGTTTTACCTTTTGTGCTGTGTGTTTACGACCTAAACAGAAGTTAAAACTACATTTACAGGATCACGCATGTCCTGTTTAGGGTTGGACCAGTGGAAATCAGAAAAGTAGGGAAACTGCCTGGCAAAGCAATTTTAGTCTTATCAATTAATAGCAGTCCTTTCTCCCTCTTCTAGGAACTAGATAGACATTTACCAGTAGTATCGGTGTACTGACTCTGCTACATTACTACATATACTGGGTACATTTTGGTTCACCAGTATCTAGGGTATGCCTAAAGGTAGTCAATAATATAATGGTAAATTACCACAATACTGATTTCCACCAGTCCAACACTAATTACAGAAATCAAATCATGCTTACAATTCATGGTAACAATGGAAGGTTCTAAAATTCTTCACAACCTTAGCAACACAGTGTTTGCTAAATGGGCTTTACAAAAACTTCTCATAAAACTTGGGGAAGTTTGTTTTTGTAATATTGTGTTATTCACTTGAATATGTCGCCCAGCTAGGTAGCATTTGACTCATGGCCAAAGTTCAAGGTTCTTTCCTAGAACTTTCAAAAGCTTCTTTCCTAGAACTCAGGGAAGTGAGTCACTTGTACAACGTCATGCAAACAGTTGCATTCGAGTCGTGACCAAATGCTTAAGTTCATAGAGACATGAAATAACCATAAGAAAGGCTTAATTTAGCAAAAAATAGAGATCACAATCATGGACATAAAACACTTACCTATGACTTTAAGGTCTCTTCTAACTCTACTGTGACACCAAGCATTGCAGTCGACCTGTCAGAAAATTGAAGAAAAAAACAAAAAGCAAACATTAATAACAATTTGTAGTGATAACCTGATTGTTTTCATACTTGTGTTTTTGCTACAGCTGCAATACATGTAGGCACTTTTCATGGAGTTCAAGCTGAAACTTGTCATGAATAAATAATAACACGGCATTATGCTTTTCATAATAATAATAAACTTGATGTTATAAATGTTTTATCAGCTAACTCAACAGTGTTCCATTCTTTCTTTTAATGATGCATCAACACCACTAGTCACTAGTCAGCATAGAGTTCCATCTTAATACTAACAGTCACTGTGAATTTTAGTCCAATCTGGCTACACTCCACATCCAGTAACCCTCTGGCCAGTTGGCTCAGGTCCCACCATTCTTGTTTTTCGTTAAGAAGCTTCCCAACTCCAAACATAACACAGGCTGCCTCCCAAGTATAATTTATATAAGATAACAGTACATGTATAATTTACAAGAAAAATATGCTAGTGGTTATCTTGAGTACAAAGTATTACACGTATTTTAGATTTTCAAGGATAGTTCATCTCTTTGTCATACCCTTTTGACTACAGGTTGCAGCGGCTGAGATAAAATTTCATGAATAAATCCCTTTAACAATTTGTGTCTTCTTCTTCAAGGGTCACACAAATCCAGTTTTGGTCACTAGATCACCCAGGAGATTGATTTTCAGACCTTAAATGTCCCAGAGGGACTATTGAGCCTGGGTTAGTGTAATACAGTGGCTACAGCCTTATCAGGTAACTGGCTGCCTGCCACAACCATCCATCACATCATACTTCACTATAAATACATGTGGGTGGCAATGGTACTCAACAGTACTGAAGCAAGCCTGCCAGAAGATACATGTATACTGATGTTGATAACAATATCCACACTGTAGGTGGCCAATGGTTAGTGTTTACTGAATTAACTGTACTAAAACTAAAAGTATGAAATCATTCGGTATTACATACATGTACATCAAGTGCAAAAAGGCACTGTGGTGTATGGTATTGATAGAATAACAAGAGCACACATTTGTACAAGTATCATTAGCATTTCTTAGGGTAGCTTTACAGCAAGTTTTGGAGAAAGAGGGGGTAATGGGATGATTGAGCATGATGGGCTGGTAGTGACTGGTACAATCATGGTGATTCATGGATTAACTGTATGAATTATTGATTGTATCATTAAATTATAATACCATACTGTATTTCTGAAGCTATAGGTGGTTGGAACAGGGTAAATGTGCTATTAATCAGCAAAATTTGACTCAATGTCAGAATATTGATTAGAGATTGCATGAAGAAAGTAAATGATGGTCAAGGTCTCTAACCGAGTAACAGAAAAGCCTTTAATATCCCATAAATATATATATAGGACCACTGCAGAAACCTGTTGTTGATCAGGCTTCATGTTTGAAACAAATGTGTATATTTTGTGGGGTCGATGAAAGGTTAGGGTGACAAGTCTGGTCGCCCATCCTGTTTGCCATCCTGTTTCCACTGATGTCAACGATAAGAGCAGGAAGGGGTTTTATGCCGCACAGATGTACATTTACCGCTTTTCTTGGTAACGCCTACAGAATCATGTTGAACTTCATAATCCTTTAAGCACCCTCATGCAGACTTACAGCTGTGTCACTTCCAAGTTAGCTTTTAGTTTTACTTGCTTCTCAGACCAGTGTATGTATTACTATTACTGGTAAAATAAATACTTAGTACACAACAGATAAGTGCAGGAAGGGTACAGTGTACATTATGTACAGCACTGTGGTAAGGGACTGTACGATATTTACCGGGGGGGGAGGGCTGGTGCACTGGGGGGGAGGGGCCATTGAAAAAAATTTTAGGCCTGGGGGGGAGGGGCCATGGAAAAAAAATTTGAGCCGGGGGGAGGGCCATCGAAAAAAAATCGGCCTGGGGGGGAGGGCCACCGAAAAACTTTTGTAAAATATGGCGTCGCGTAGTACCGAATTACAAGAAATACGCCGTAAATTCCCGAATATAGTACGCACTTTTTACATTTTTCAAAATCCCAGAAGTGTCTCGGGCCGTCGCCAAAGTCGCGGTGCGTACTTTATTTGAGTTTTCCGCCGACAAATCCGTGGACAACCCAGAAATATAGCGGAACACCGGCACGGGGAGCTTGGAACATCGATCGTCTATAGCATGTTTAGATAAGAATATTGACGAGTGGAAATGAAGTTAAACTTCAATAAATGAACATATTTCCTGTGACTATCGTCGATATTGACACCAAGTTGCGGTAAAAAGAAGAAGTCAAGTCACCCACGGTAAGAAAATGTAGGTCTCTGGCAATGACGCCCGGCGCTTTGTCATGCCGACAGGATCGTTCCCCAGCTAGCCGGCGCCGATCTCAGTAGAACCCCGGCAAAAATATAACCTCCCGTAAGTACACATACAATTGTAGGGTTTGTGAGTGGTAATACTTGAAATGGTCCGCAAGCCGTGAACGTTCTTGATCGTCGTAACGTAACATGTGATAACATAACAGTTGTGCCTCGACTGATGGTCACCATTTCAAATACACGTCCGGCTTGAGTTCAACTCAGGAATCTTCAACAAAGATTATGCCCATGTCGTTTCAACACCGGTTTCAAAGGTTCAGAAATTGTTAACCATGTTTCACTTCGTGATCACAACTATTTTTAAATCTTGAAAAATGCCACAGGAAATTACTTTGTAGCGGGCTACACCAGCCAGTACGACGTGAAAATTCCAGCTAGATATACTCCTACTCGACTGTTCGGCAAGCTACAATGATAGGGGCGGAGTTAACTTAAAATGTAACAGTGTTAGTCTTTGATGAAATCTTACCGCCCGGCCGGTGGGTGGGGTGTTACACCTACAGCTGAAGAACACAGAGAGGGCCGTGGCATGCGCAGCGCTGAGGACAGCTTTCCAGAACATGGACCCCGAGAAGGAAGTCTTTCCTTCCTCTGAACAGACTTTACTTATCAGTTTTACTGAGTACAAATTAATACATGTGTTTATTCCTTTGATTTTGTGACAAAAACATCTATCACATAACGAGAGATTACTTGAAACGCAGTCAAACTTGTCACTTTCTCCTGTTCGGAATCGCAAGTCCCATTGATCCCAGTAGTCTTTTGTTGTTGTGTTAATTGGTTTCGGTGTCAAATTTTAAATTCGATAGCACCTCTACGCCCAAATACTCCGCCCAGTTCTCCGCCTGTATGATTGTTGCTCTCCTTGGGTCGATCGCGCGGGCGCTATTAAAGAAATGTTCGGCGCATTTCGTATTAAAAAATATTAAAGCTACGTACTTGTACATTAACATTCAACTACCCCCCCCCCCGTTACCGACATAATCAATATTGAAATATTGTCTTTTTTCACGAATCGTTATTGACCATAATTTGCTTGCTTGATCACCAACACTCCAAAGCTGGATCCAAATCTGTGCGTTTCGCCGCACTTGCCTTACCTTTCGATGCGGTGGTGACGGAAGTCGGCTGCGGCCGGCGGTGAAAACAAGGCCGAACTTGAAACGTTTCCCGCTACGTTACCATAGAATCACGTAGTACACGGCGTAAATCTAGTTTTTAACCATTTCAAATTTGTTTGGAACGACGAACTGTCTTTAAGACATACATACTACATGTTCACTGTGGTACCGGCCGTGCGTAGAAGGGGTGCGTACTTAATTCGAGTTTTTCCATTTTACGTTTCAGACGGGAATATTTGTCTCCCACCAGCCCCAAGTCGGGGGTGCGTACTTTAATCGAGATGCGTACTTCATTCGGGAATTTACGGAGGGAGAAAGAGACATGGACTGGAAAAATGGGGGGGAGGGCCACCGAAAAATTTTTTGGGGTGGGGGGAGGGGCCATTGAAAAAAA